TCTATTTATTTATGGACCTTTTCATCCAATGGAGGTCTGTAATATATTACATTTGGAAAACAACCCCTCCCTACACATGCGTGTGTTCCTGATGGGCCTCCTCGCTGTACGGTCGGAGGCCAGGGTCAGTTAAATAACACGCACAGCACATAAGCAGGCTGGGTGAGAGCTGTCTCTCTGGGAGGGAGGGCTGCTCCATCACTGGTCCCAGTGGGGAGGAATGGAGGGATGCCGGGTGTGTTTATTAGAGACAGAGGGAGGGAAGAATGCTTTCTTAGAAGAGCGGCCTCCTGTTCTCTCAAGGTAACGTCTCTACTTGTATTTGAGAACTACAAACTTCTGCTTTTAAGAAATCTAGGTTTTATTGAAAACAAATAAACATCAGAACTGTTTGTCTGATGGAACAGCTTCACAACGCCCACGCGTCTTTCCAACATCGGTATTGGGGGAGGCGGTTCTCTTTCTAAACCAACAACTGACGTTCACACCCACTAAAGACATGATTAGCCAGGCATGCAGGGATGATAAAGTAAGTAGGGTTTAGTAGTAGTAGTAGAACCTTTATTTATCCAGGAAAATTAATTAAGAACAAATTCTTATTTACAATGATGACCTGACAGGTTTAAATAAACTCTTCTATTAAGATCACTTTTTCCCATCCGTTGGCCAACTATTTCCGCCACTTTTAATGCCTTCCAGTTGAAAAAAATAATTAACATACATTTAGTTTTCCCTCTAATTAAACAAAATTGTGCCTCATCCCTCAGGCTTGTCACCCACCTTGGAGTGTGGCGGGTTAACACTTTGGACTTCAGACGTGGTCAGACAACAAAACAGTACTACTGTGTTTCTTTCTAGCAGAACTCAATCCCTAGTGCCACAACTGCACTTGCCTGCCAGTATGTCGAAAACACATTTCCTAGAATTACTTTCAAGATCCCCCCAAAACAAGGGTTTAAACATTTGGCATTCGACTGTAAGTGGACCAATGTTGTGATGATGGCCATTCACGTGGCCATCAGCCAAAGAGTAGCCAAGTTGGCAACACTGAAAGCCTGTCCATTCCTCTCTTACTCCAAGACCAGTCCCCAAAGTTATCATTGTGAACGTAAACGTAACCTGATGAATGTAAATAAACATGGCTACTGTTAAGGCAAAATGCGCGCAGGTAGACAGGCAGGTCAACCCAGAGCCATTTTTTATATTGATTGTTATCAGCATGTAATGAGTATTCCAACAAATAGACCAAAAACATTTTCTAAATTGCATTACTTTCCCTATCTTTAAGACCAAGTTTGCAGATGTTGAGGAATTCTATGGAGAGAAGGAGACTACAGTAGGACGCTGCAGGTTTATTTGATTTGAGGTTTTCTGCAGAGAGAGTATTATGATTTTAAACGTGGAAGTGATGCTATGGAGCTTTTGCAGTGTGGCAAGCTATGGTTTATGCTTTTTGGGGGATGAATAGGGAGCATCTAAACGCAGATGTGGTGGTTATAAGGCCCTTGCTTCCTTGCACATAAGCCGTGCAAAGTATAATATTACATTCACTCGCTCCTTGTGTTTATATTCTCTCTCCTTCCGCTTTCCAAGACTCTCAGTATTCCTCAATTTGAGAATAATAATGCTTATGTCACATTCACATCAACGTTCCACACAACAAAACGTTAAACTTCAAACCTGGAACCGCTTCGCCGAATTACACATCATGACAGATTTTTCTCAATAATCAAAGCTGACACATCCTCCCTGACATAAATACGTACCCCAGCAAACTCAGGGGCAACATTTATCCTGTAGTCTGACGGGAGGAACACTGATGACACATAGTGACAGTAACAGTGTGTCAGCGGATACCGCCAGCTGGCAAAGGGACAGACACACTGAGCCCATCAGAGGAAGAGGGAGACAATGGCAGCTTTTATTTCTCTACCGCACATTCCTGTGGAAGAAAGGAGTTGGGCGTCCCGACGCCTGCTGTTTGAACCTGAGGCAGACTAGTTCATCGTGTCTGGGTCACGGTACTTCCCAGACTCGTTGTCATTTGGTACCTCGGTGCTGTATTATAAGAAGTGTTTTTCCATAATGTGTTATATTTGTTTGTACATTGTTCTTTAAATAATCATGAGACTACACTTCAAATTGTTTCATTGGTAAAAGTTAGGTATTTGTTTTCGAAAGAGCACTTGCAACACCTCCGGTGATCTTAACTCATCATGTCACTGGAACTGGGTTCATAAGGTCACAGCTGTTGATATTAAAAATACCCACAAAAATAAAAATAAAAACGCATTTACTGATGGCAGCTTTGTGCATGCGTCATGTGCTTCTTGGTGATAATGAAACATAACTGTGGAGCACCGGCTATGGGATTGGAAAAAACTATATATTTAAGTTAATCTATAATGATAATTGCAATTTGACTCCAACTTTATCACAGTACATGAACCAAAACACAGGGAACAAATAAAATGTCGGTAAATATTGTAGAATAAGAAGATATTGAAATGTACAAAAATGTAAGTTTGTCCAATGTTAAGCTTTAGAGAAGTTCATATTCAATATGTTTTTATAATAATACATTTTTTGATTGCACCTTGTTGTATTTTTTGCCAATTCGACCCCGTTTGGGAACCTCAGACTACTTATTGGCGCCCCATTGTAACAGCTCACTACTTCCTGCAATGGCCCTGAATATCGTCGTCAAACGTAAATTGCAGAATACAGATTTAAAATGATCAACATTACGTTTTTGTATTCTTACATACTCAAAGACCAACAACTTATTTTCAAACCCATAACTTTCACTACACATAAGGCAGTTTCACCAATGAAAGTTTCATCAATTGACCAGAATTCATTGCTTCAAGCCTTGCTGTTGAGTAAGTGCTGTAAATGTGTTCCTTATTTGTGTCCCTATTACTGTTACAACTAACATTGCCTCATGTTTAGGGACTTTCTTTAAGTAATTTTGGAAGTAATTATTGATGATAGTTGGGTCAAGGCGATAAAACCAGTTGCCATTTGTATTATATTTAAATATTTGTTTTCTCGTTATCGCCTTCACAATTATGCTATCTGACTGGAGTTAATAGATGTTTGACAGGTATTTTTATGCCTTGTTGTGATTTATATTATATCCAAGATGTGGTTAGTTCCTGCATCTATCTTTCTCATGCTGCCTTTATCTTTTCACCCAGAACACATGTTGTTATCCAGATTTTTTTTAAAGCCCTTTTTCCCTCGAGGATGTTCTTTTCCTTAACTCTGAAAGGTCAGTGATGCCAACACTAGCCCAGATGCAAAGTAGCCAGAATCTCCCCCAGGTGCCCTCACATATCCATGACTGCGGGTGTAGAGATGGTGTCAGCCATGGCATCCTGTTGTCCCCCCGCTCAGGAGAACCTGTTTCCTCCTGAGTCATGGCTGCCGCTCCGAGACACTCTTCCTCATGTTACAGAATACACACGAAGACAATGGCATACAAGTTGGGCACACATAAAGCAGACAGAACACTCACATATTCTCATGTTATTAAACAAACAGGCAGGCAGAGGATGAGACACCTGCATTGTGCCTTCTCCTTTTAAGGGGGATTTTGGATGTTTACTCAGACAAAACTCAAATATTGCTTTGCTTGGTGTTGTAAAGACGACACATCCACGTGACCTGTTTGGTAACCTTGAAAGGTCTTTGACATTTCCCAATGTATACAACCAGGAGCAGGTGATGTGCTCTAAGCCTTGGGTTAAAAATGAAAATATAAGAATTCATGTCAAAATGGGTTTATAATGCCAGTTGTTTTTTTTTTATATGTGAAAGAAATTGGAGAATTTATATATAATGTTATAGCTTCCAACGGTGTGGGGGCTTTGAAAGACATATTGATTTATATTTAAATAAAGCATCACATGAAAATGTACTATCTACTGTAATATGGAAGCTTAATAATGGAGTATTTTACAGTATTGTAATATTTAAACCAGCTTACTTTTTGTTGCCATATTCAAGAGATATCTAATAGCCCCTTTCTAAAATGGTTCAAAAAATATTCAGCAGTGAAAATTACATTTAGTTTTTTCTAGTATAGGTTTTGAGTCATTTGAATTGCACATTCAGGGTAATATTGTACACTACTAGATTTATATCATATTACCAGCTTTTCAAATATGATGCATAAAATCGTTTGACAAACTGCTACATAATTAAAACTGCTTATATACTTATGAATTACCTAATACTCACCAATAATATAAAAGGTCTATTCTCCCAATCCTCAACAGTGTGAATTGTGTTGCATTTTGAATACTTTAAACTTTAATACATAGTCAGTTTTGATGAATTTGTGTTATTTTATGTATGTTTACTTATTTGTTTACTTATAGTTTAAGTACTTCTCCCAGCACTTAATGTATTTCCGCCTTTAAAAAAGTGTCTATAAAAAAGATAGCAATGTAAAACATTTCTGCAAAAGGTGGCTGTGTAGTTGTTCAAGGTGAGAAATTGCACCTGCCACGTTAGTTTTGTATCGTTTAAATAAACAGTGTGAAGTAGGATATTAAATTAGATGGGAATGTAAATAGTGGATCTCCCCCCACACATCCACACTTACACACAGTAACAGATAACAAACACTCTTTATAAAGCAGTCAATAGCCTGCAGTTATTTAGCACAAACTAACAAATCCTCCTATCTGGAGTGCATACAGAGGGACCGCTGCTTCAGAGAGGAGGACTCAATGGAGTGCGGGTCGTTGTGTAAACAAATGAAGAAGAGCTCTTGACCAAACAAAGATTTAAAAGGGAGATTAAAGAGACGAAGAAGTAGCTGAGTTCTGCTGAGGGAATAATTGAGAGGAGTGGTTGAGATAAGGGCACGCGCACTGACGTACACGCACGCACAAACACACACGATGGGGCTACGTGCAGCGCGCGCAGGTCTCGAGAAGAGGAGGAACCAGAAATCTTCTCTCATTTACTTAACATCACTTCCCATCGCCGGGAAAGCAAACACGCTCCTGAAGCTGCAGAGGAAGAGGAGTGAGATCGATGTGAGTGAGTGTCTGCAGAGAGCTGTCAGCTGTCAGCACCTGGAGACTCCTTTTCTGCGTCTTCTACCTCTTTTTCTTCCACTTTTTTTTGTAGCTGCGTGTCCTCCCGAGCGCTCACGTTGTCCCTTATTTTGCCGGGACACTTGTAAAAAAGTCTGCGGGTGTCTCTTGGGCATGGAGAGGCATCTGCTCTGATTGATACTCGGATTTTTTCAACTTCACGATCTTCTCTCTGAATTATGGTAAGTGTGAAATACTTCGGTATCTTTTATATAAATTCATCTTGTTCATGCCATCGAGTGTACGCGATTTCGAGGGGTTTTATTGTGGAGAAATCATTATATTTAATAAAATATCATTACGAGTGCATCCTTCTGTCGCTGCTCTTCAGCTCTGTTGGTGTTTATTTTAGTAGATCCTTTAAATAAACATTAATTAACATTTAAAACCAGGACAATTGCTTCTAATTGCTGTGTGTCTTTTAAAAAAAAAATTAAATCTATGATTAAGACGGACGTACAATTATGGTACGTTTATAGAAAAATAAACCAAAATCAAAATATGTCAAATTTTATTGAATTACTCCCTTTGGAATTTCCAATTAATTTTCAAATAAGACTTGTATAATAATGACAGAATTTGAAATGGTGTGCTACATATATTACATTACAATACATAAAAATACATTACAACATGTAAAGTATTTGAGACAACAACAATTACCAGACATGCATGGATTTAACAAATTGTAAATGAATCCTTGAATATTAAATGATCCTTATGTAGACACCAATTGCCTATTGGATACAAATTAAATAGATAGACAAACTATATTGTAATGCATTCAAATGTAGACCAATGTTAAAGTAAATGGGACATTTTAATTTTCAGAGTTTTGCTTGTAACTGAAGATATTGTAAATTATTTTCTTCTTCAGTATTAAAGTTATTTTATTCACCCAAGTTTATTGTAGTCATTAATAAGAGCAGAAAAACCTTATAATCCCAACATCAACATGTCAGCAATTTGTGTGTCACTGAGCCTTTAAAAGAGAACCGTGTGTGAGGCACCTTCTCTCAGATGGAGCTCCTTTGTTTTTCTTGGTGCTGGTTGAATCGGTGCAACACTTTTGGCTCGGCCTAAGTACAGAAGATTACACTGAAATCACTGACACACACCCCCCCCCCCCCCCCCCCCCCCCCCCCCAGCCGCTATGCAGGGACCCTCATTAACTAAATTAGGGGAGCCTCGCTAAGCATTTTTCAAAGGCTGGTATTCATATTTTTCAAGGACCCCTTTATGGCTCCCGACGAGAAACGAACTCAATGTTGTTCCAACCATTTAAATCCTTTTTTAAACATGTCTTTCAGCAACGATTACATGGGGCCATTTAGTTTGTTTAAATAAATAGATTTTAAGAAAAATAAATCTGACATTACATTTTCTTGTATAGTATATGGTGACAATTGTGTCATGACATTTAATCTTCTTTATTTATTATTCATTTTTAACCATTAAAAAAAATCTCCTTTTTTTCTCAGAAAACACATTTTAATTAGTATCATTCCAACTATTGGTTTTGCATAGATGGACACCAGAGGGTTTACATCCTTGCTGCAGGGCAAACATAGTTTAACTATTGTGGTGTGAAAAGTGCCATATACCAGCTCCAAAAAACGTCACACTCATTTCAGAATTGCATAACGTAAACTGAACATATGTCACTGTCAGTTGTCTGAAATAAACCTGCAGGGGTAATGGCCAGCCAAAAAAGGATTCTTTTATTTTAGATATAGTGTCAGATTCAGGTCAGAGACAGATTATAAATCTCTTTTTATATACCTGCGTTTTAACCCCCACAAATACCATCCAGGGGTCTTGTTGGAGGGGTGGAGGGGGGGGGGGCTCCGACCACATACGGAAGGTGTGTTCTTGGGCGTGTTTGATTTAACACTGCGGTTCGTCTCTTAATAACATTAGGCCCCATTTCTGGACTCGCTCTCCAGGCTAGCCGGGTCCCTCTCAGTCTCTCGCCCTCTCGCTCCTTCATGGTTCCTATTACTAGCTCTAATAAATTGTGAATAAGCAGCAGCCCAAAAAGTCCCGGGCTGTGGAGAATTCCCCATCCTGTAGCGCAAGGCACCCCCTCTTAAGAAAACACAAATTAATTCCAAACCCCTCTGTAGCCAAACGTTTGTGGAATGATAAATATTTTCATAGGAAGCTCTGCTCTTCCTGACTTTATCTGCACAAATGTCATTATATTTCTTCGCATTTTTTAAGCTTCTGTTCATCTCTCTTTCCCTTTCTCTCCTTCTCCCTTTCTCTTTTTCTCTGGGAGTCAAATATCCTTGCTGACTTGAACTCAAGGTTACACCAGGGCTCTGATGTTGACCCATATAGTCTCAAGGTATACTCAATCTATTCTCTTAGTCTAAGAAGTGAATTATCCTAGTATTAAAAGCTGGACGGATGACATTCATTTAGTTTTATTTGCTGAACTGAAGTGAGTCTGTTGAATATCTTTCAGTTAGATGCTGTTTTTTCTTGTTGTACGACACCCCAAATTCAGCCACACACACATCTTTGTGTTTTGCCTTAGAGTACAGAGCAAAGCTGACTTAATTTACATCTTCTCTGTCAACCTGCCAATTTTAAAGAAAAAATATTTCCGTGACTGTTCCAACACTGTGTGCTTTATGTATGATATGGTGATTTAGGTGCAGCATATCATTAATAAGAGTTCATCCTGTTACACAAGAGAAACACGATATAGTTTTACAACAATCTCAGTTGAAAAGACCACAAAACATTTCCAAAATAATAATGTCTACATGTAAGTAAGCAATATATTATCATATTGTACTTGTTTGCCTTTTTACATATGTTTCCTTACTTGTTTATTTGTCCTTTTCTTCTTTAATTTATTGAATTCCCCATTACTGAGCAACTACTGTCACTTATTTCTTTAGTTATGTTTGAGTAAGTCACTGAGGAATAAAGTAAAAGCTTCTGGGTTTTCATGGATTGAACGCTTCTGAACTTTAAACAACTTCACGAGCAGCCAGCTGAGTGTAGCCTGATATGTGCAGCTGTCTGCATAAACAGAAGGCCTGACTAAATCTAAACTCTGTCGGCTGTTATTCCTAAAAGTCTATTATTACATACAGATTTCAAGCAACAACAGTAGGTAATACTGATATGCAAAGACAATACAATGAAGACGAACAAATATGTAATTACTGAGTCTCTGAAATATATGATTTTAAATGTATCCCAAGACTGTTGAATTTATATTATTATTTATATTTGTGTGCGTGTGTGTGTGTGTGAGGCTTTATGTAGAATCCATTCTGCAGTATTGTGTCTATTGTGTTAGACCTCGGAAATGTGTGTGTGTGTGTGTGTGTGTGAGAATCTGCATGTAAGCATCAATATGTTTAGCTAAAACAAAAGGAATGAATGAAAGGGGGTGCCGGTGACACTAGTGGTTGAGGGGTTGTCTCTCCAAAAGTATGGGGCTCGAAAGTGATCACACTTCCCTCTGAATGTCTTCCCCTATCCTACCCTTCCCTCCCGTTTTAATTCCCTTAAGCCCCAAAGAGCACCCAGGGAGGCCTTGTGGTAGTGTGTGTGTGTGTGTGTGTGTGTGTGTGTGTGTGTGTGTGTGTGTGTGTGTGTGTGTGTGTGTGTGTGTGTGTGTGTGTGTGTGTGTGTGTGTGTGTGTGTGTGTGTGTGTGTGTGTGTGTGTGTGTGTGTGTGTGTGTGTGTGTGTGTGTGTGTGTGTGTGTGTGCTGTCAGCAGACAACAGCTGTCTCTCTGGCTATCTCCACTCTCCTTATCTCTACTTGAGAATGGAGAAGCCACACACATCGCAGCGTATAGCCTGCGGTGGCCATATTTAATTTTTCTGCGCTCTCAGAATGGTTTGGGTACTTTCCAATGGATAGAGAATTTAATAATTGTCTGTGGCTCTGCGAGAATTTTTGACATTGAATATTTTCCTGAATATAGTTTGTATGCCAACGTATTATATCTCATCTTATTTACCCGGCCTTGTTATCTCTAAAAAAAAAGGCATAAATCAATCTGTTGATTTCATTTTTTTTTACGCTTTCTCTGTCTCACACACACTCCCACTGTAAATCTACCATTCTAGAAGTAATTGGACCTCAATCCATCTGTAACGGCTGCGAGCTTCAGCTACCAGCGGGCTCTGTCTGGCCAGCTGTTAGCAACTACGGCGGCCACCGGCCATCATTTGCTGAGGAGGCTGATGGAGGGCAAAGCTTTTTGTCCTAATGAGTAATAAAGGAGCCAGTCTGAGAGAGAGAGAGAGAGAGAGTGTGTGTGTGTGTGTGTGTGTGTGTGTGTGTGTGTGTGTGTGTGTGTGTGTGTGTGTGTGTGTGTGTGTGTGTGTGTGTGTGTGTGTGTGTGTGTGTGTGTGTGTGTGTGTGTGTGTGTGTGTGTGTGTGTGTTCATTAGAGAAGGCAGGAGCAGTCATGCAGTCAGGCGTGTGTCAGTTTTGAGTGTGCGAGCGTGTGTGCGTCCACCCTCCCATCACTGGACCAGATGTTTTTTACCTGGGTACCAGACCACCATCTGACTGAGGTCAGCCCGCTGCTCCAGCCCCTCACCCGCTCCTCCAGGCTGCTGGGAGGTCTGCCAGCTGTCCCCCACTTTGACCCGCGTCCCGGGGCACTGGTTCTGGGGGAGTCAGAGTCTAGACCTTGGGGTAGGTGGTCCTTTTCGAATTTGGCAATATCACTAGGGGAAAATTGTTAGGGATATTTTTAGCGTTTGGGTGCCGAGATATGGGCTGTGAAGGCAAGTGAGTAAGCATAAAAAGAAGGCAGTTGAGCATTTGTGCTGGAGAATATCACAGATTAAGACGCTGGCATTGTTGAATAAAGAGGTTTTGATTACTGAGGGACAGAAGGGGGTAGCTTCTGGCATTAAAGCAGTCTTGTTGCAGGGAGTTAGTCAACTGGAAAAGAAGGGCCACCAAGTCTGGGAGGTAAAGTTACTGAGTGCAGACAGAGTCGGCAACAGGTTCACTGCTGCCAGAGATTAATTGGAGCCTCTTGTATGATCATTTCTGTTTCTTTCAAAGGACATAATACATCTGTCATTATGTGACTTAACTTTTTTAATTTAAAGTACAAGTATAAGCAAGTTCTGTTTGTGTTTTTGGTTATTTGAGGAAAGTGTTGCAGAGACTCCGGTGAGAGTAGAACCAGTC